GAAACTAAAACTGAAATAAATAAATTTTATTTAAGTACGTTTAAGTACTACAATTGCTGAAACTAAAAATGATCAACTGAAATACAATTAAAGCTATATAGAAATAACTAAATTAAAAAATGAAAACCTGCAAAGGTATATAGGAAGCCATTTGTACACAAATTAGAATAAAAAACAAGACACGTAATCAATGCTTTTGCTTGCAAATGCACATTTTTATATAAAGTTGATAGAAGAGTTGACCAAAGTCATTGCACAAACTCACATTCATACACACCCATATACTGTAACACATTGCTTCTTTAAATATATTAGTTACATCTCATTTTTGTTTCATTTTGATCAACAAAGTTCACACAATGTGAAACAAAGAAAAGAGAAAACCATACTTCTTTGTACGTCTTTTGTTGCTGTACAGTTTTTTTTTTTTTTTTCTTCTTGAAGAATGTTACATCAACCACAAAAATTGTATAAAACATAGTAACACATTTCGCCTCTTTCATTATCTATGACAAGACAGAGTTGTTGTAATTAATGGCCTTTCTCCACACCAATCTATTACGATCAGTTTCTCATCACATCCAGTATCCCGTACACCAATGGAGCCATTTTTGTAGTAGCATCAATGCATATCCAGTCTTTTTGCCTTATGTACAAAACTTCACTACATTCAGCTAACCAATGAGAAAGGTCTTGTTATGGGTAATAGGGGATATCTGCATTAATTGCACCATCAGTGTTTTATCAGAATGAGGCCAAACACAAAATACGGGGATAAATGTAAATGTGTTATCAGCAAGTGATCAGAAATATGTAAATAGCCTACACTACAAAACTGTGGGTCGGGACTATCTGTTTGCAGATTAATGACGGGCAGGGAAACTTTCTTCTTTGGGAAACCTGTTTGTAAACATTAAGCCTAATCATTTTGTAGTGGCACCATTAACTTGTCCACATGTGTCAACAGCATTTGATGCTTACAGGTAGCCTAAGCCACAGAGCACTCTATGAACCTTACTGTATATATTGAGCAATTTAACATTTAATTGACTGGAATAAGGCCGTTTTACATATGCAATAACTGCGAATTCCTACTTCATTTCTAACGGGAAAAGGATGACAGGTAACAGAACGGAGGTGCCACTCCACCCATATAGGCTACACAAAAATACACACTGATATGAAAACCCAAGCTTCTGGATTCCGTCTGTGAAATGTTCTCCAGCAGATGGCAGTTTGCTGCATTGTGATGCATACCCATGTTGAGTTACATAATACTGCAGTTACCCCTCATTACTAGTCAATGAGTTGCAGGTGCTTATGTCTTATATGTAATGTATTGTGACGCTGAATTAATAGAAAAAAGAAAAAAATATATAGGAGAAAAATATTAGAAATATGTAAGAAATGATATTATGTTGTGCAAATATATATCAAGCAGTAAGTAATTTGTAAAAATAAATAAAAAATAAATAACTGAATTAAAATAAAATGAAATTCAAGGACTAAAATTATTGAAACTAAAACTGAAATAAATAAATTTTATTTAAGTACGTTTAAGTACTACAATTGCTGAAACTAAAAATGATCAACTGAAATACAATTAAAGCTATATAGAAATAACTAAATTAAAAAATGAAAACCTGCAAAGGTATATAGGAAGCCATTTGTACACAAATTAGAATAAAAAACAAGACACGTAATCAATGCTTTTGCTTGCAAATGCACATTTTTATATAAAGTTGATAGAAGAGTTGACCAAAGTCATTGCACAAACTCACATTCATACACACCCATATACTGTAACACATTGCTTCTTTAAATATATTAGTTACATCTCATTTTTGTTTCATTTTGATCAACAAAGTTCACACAATGTGAAACAAAGAAAAGAGAAAACCATACTTCTTTGTACGTCTTTTGTTGCTGTACAGTTTTTTTTTTTTTTTTCTTGAAGAATGTTACATCAACCACAAAAATTGTATAAAACATAGTATCACATTTCGCCTCTTTCATTATCTATGACAAGACAGAGTTGTTGTAATTAATGGCCTTTCTCCACACCAATCTATTACGATCAGTTTCTCATCACATCCAGTATCCCGTACACCAATGGAGCCATTTTTGTAGTAGCATCAATGCATATCCAGTCTTTTTGCCTTATGTACAAAACTTCACTACATTCAGCTAACCAATGAGAAAGGTCTTGTTATGGGTAATAGGGGATATCTGCATTAATTGCACCATCAGTGTTTTATCAGAATGAGGCCAAACACAAAATACGGGGATAAATGTAAATGTGTTATCAGCAAGTGATCAGAAATATGTAAATAGCCTTTTGTTTAAATGATCCCATACAGAAACAGGAAAAAAGCTATTTAACTGACAAAAGACAAATAAATGGGTTTAAAGACGGTGGTCTGTTAGCTTTTGACTGTCATTGATCTTTAAAACTTCAAATGTGCATATTGCTAAGTTGATTTGATCAGTTTTTGTGTGCTACAGGTAATTCATTTTAGTATCTTACATGTCATCAGTATCTCATCATTTGCATATTGAAAAGCTGCTGTACTTCTATAGAAGACGTTTAAGACTCAAAAATCTATTCAAACGCACGCTTTGCAAATGTTAATATTACACCTGCGAACTGCTTTAAAGTCACTCCTTCATCGCTGTTCATCAACTTTAACAAAAACTGCACTTGTCATGTCACATGCAGAAGCTTGAATAGTGAGTGAACAATGTATGGAGAAAATGCTCGTGAAAAATCTCTCATTCACAGAATGACGGCACCTCGTTCTCAGGATGATTACTGACCACATCACTTCAAAATATCTCATCAGCAACCAATCTACTATTAACACTGGTTTGCAATTTGTGTCAAATGATGGAAGTAAAATCAACTGTGCTCTCAAATTTGTTAATACTCAATCTCAGATATGTGAGAGAGCATTAAAATGCAGAAAAAAGAAGACTAAAAAGAAGTGTTTTGGGCTAAATTAACATTTATCATTTTTGTAAGTGCTTTATTTTAACAGGCTGACTTAAAACGGTAAAATAACCCTTTTCTAATTTAATTAACAATGGTTATTTATGGTCTATTTTGCACGTGACCCTTGCACTATTATGTTTTGCACTGGTTTTAGAGTTTCTTGTATCTGATATAGGGCTTTCGTGTATTTAAAATAACTGTAGGGTTTTGTTTTTATGCATGCATAATTATGAAAATAGTATTCTGGACCTATAATGGACTAAAAACATGGCGATTTTCTAATAATGCAAGCAATTTTTCCTTTCTTTTTTAACAAAATATTTGTGACATTGTATGTCTCTGGCTCAAGTCTTTCCATAATGTCCCTTCTCTTTTGCTCCTTCAAAAATATCCCTTTCCTAATGAGAAGGCTACAAAAACTTAGTCTACTTCAAGCTGGCTTTTATAACTTTTATGTCTTTATGGCACATTATTCTTGGAACACCGTCCAAAAGAATGTCATAGAAAAATTGTGACCATCAAATCATAAACAAATATTTTTAAAAAGTGTGTAGTTCAGAGGCCAGCTTCTTAGAACCTTTTCTCTTGGCCGAAGCTGCCACAATGCGCTTCCATGGCAGGACATTGATGAGTGACTGCCGTTTCAGGCTCTTGTCCTTGGCGTTTTTACTGTTCTGCACAGCTGTATAATGTGCCAGAGGGGGTGGTTTTTCATCAAACAGGCCTGCCTTTCGGTAGCTCGGGGACACTGAGAGTACAGTTCCCATGTTGCCTTGATTATTACGGGGTCTTTAGATACAGAATCTGCCCATGAAAGAAAGAAATATGAATGTTTAGAGATACAATACTGTTTCCAGATCTAAATAAGCAATGCTTTTGATGAAACCGCCATCACCACTTAAACAGAACATACACACAAGTGCAAAGCATATAAGCATTTTATATATATTGAAAAGTATGTATAGAAAACCAAATGTAAAAATCTTACAATTATATTTTGAGACATACATTTTATTTTTACTGAACTGAACCGCTGGTTTGCTATTCACCATGAGATTAAGCAGAATATGCCAAAGCATCCATTTTAGCTTCAAAATGGAAGGCGAGAATGTAAACACATTCATTCCCAATTCATATCTATTTGTAAGAAAAATTCCTCTAAGTGCGAATTGAAAATTGTTAGCTGACTGAAAATTGATTAAATTGAAGCTTAAGCACGTTTATGAACTCAGAATTGATCGAGCTCTTCAAAATGTTTAGTGGGTCAACGCGAGGAAATGAGAACATCACGCTTCACACAAAACGAGCTGTTGTAAATCAAGATAGCATCTTTATAACGACGGGCTCGTTTGGACGGTACAATTGAGCTTTTCACATTTTGCGAACTATTTAAAAGCGAACCCTTTAAAAGCGTAATTGAAATGAAGATAATTTGATTCAAAAGCAGCATATATAGGTTATACACATAAATGTTGGTTACTTACTAATCAATACGTCTCACTCACGATGATAAATGTAGATATAGAAGAAGAAGATCTGGTAACTATAGAAATATTCGTCGATTACCCCTTTTTCCCCTCAGCGTGTCGCACTGTGAAGCGTGCTCGTCGTTGTCCAAGGTGCTGAAAATGGGACGTCGGCGATGAAATAATGCTTCTACGTAAAGCAACTCTGCAGGCTGTTCAGGATTCATCGGTTGCTAAGGTTACTTCCCAGCCACGTCTTCCCACATAAACCCTCGATACATGGCAATTCTGTTGTTTCTCTTTCATCACAATCAATCTCGGCTCTGTTTCACATCTGCCGGTCTCTGTGATCTACTTATTGGACTGCGCAGGCGTATGAATAACACGCTATGCTTGAATGTGACTGGAAATGCTTAAAAATAATGGTCTAAATCCTTAAGTGAAGTAGATGAATTGCGTTCATTGACCGCTATTTTTCGGGGGGGGGGGGGGGGGGGGGGGGGGGGGGGGGGGGGGGGGTGCATTGGTGCTCTCTCATGGAGATGCTGAATCTCAGATGGGTGGGAACTTGGCTGAGCTCCCTCTAGTTATCTGTCCATGCTGTCCGTCATGTGTGCGCTGTCTGAAATCGCTCTCCACAGCACCAGCATCTGTTATAGCATCTCCTGAGCTTGAACATGAAAGGCAGACGTTTGACTTTAGACGCCCTGTTGTTACATGACGTGCCAGCTGTTGACAGTTACTCAATCAAAACCCAGAGAGTGTGGAAAGTCTCACACACAAGGCTCGATACAGATTAACTTAAATCCTGATGTGCAGTAATGTCGATGAGGCTTTGTAGACCTCAGTGGCACAGTGACATGAATGGGCAACCCCATCCCCCTCTGATCTCTCTCTCACACCCACCCACACACTCTCTTAGTCTCTAATGCTTATCCAATCATCCTACTTTGTAATAGTAAGCAATATATATTTTTTAATGGTGACCCATCTGAGTGTTTTACACCCTTTTATGTTAATATTTTTAAGCTTATCCCATCCTTAAGTAATTGATGAAACAGCACTTAAGATTAAATTTAGGCGCTGGCTAAAATGAGAAGACAGACAGATAAATAGGTATTCAGATACTGACAGATAAGGTCATCAGAGAAGAGGACCTTTCTCCGACAGGCCCTGGAGGTGAGCACAACTAGTGTTGTGAATTAGCTTATAAGTAGAGGTTTTTTTTTTTTCCAAAAGGTGCACTCTGTAACTTTTTGTTTTATGTTGAGCTGGGACAATGTGTTACTGATATTTGTATCAAGGTAAAGGGACTAGTATTTGACTGGTGATGTGATCTTGACGAGACTGTCGCTAGTTCACTGTATGAGGAAGGATTGAGAGAATATGAGTGTATTCAAACATTAATTCAGACTATATTGTGAAATTTTGAGATTTTTTTTAAAGAAGCCTCTTATGCTTTTATTTTAAGTAAATGTTTTCTATCGTAATATATTTTAAAATGTAATTTATTCCTGATGCAAAGCTGAGTTTTCAGCATCATTACTCCAGTCTTCAGTGTCACATGATCCTTCAGGAATCATTCTAATATGCTTATTTGCTGCTCAACATTTAAAACGGGATTCTTTGATAAACAGAACTTTCAGAAGAAAAGTTTTTTGTTTAAAATTGAAATCTTGACCCCAAACTTTTGAACTCTAGTGGAGGGTTTCTCAACCTTTTGCCTACTGCAACCCACTTTTTTTGTATGCCAGTCATAGGACCCACTAAGGCTGGAAATAAATAAATAACTGAAATGCTTCTTTAGACCTAGGCTACACCGTATATGCTTATTATAATTAATTTCACAAAAACTTTCATTGCTGTGCAATTATAGAAAATTACCCTTGGTAAGTGTGTTAACCAATCGAAATCAAGAATTCAGGTATTACACGGGATGATCCATGATCATGCTCTTCTTGAAAGAATCAAAAGGAACCATGATCCAAGTGTTTTGGGATTTCCTGCTAGGGCTGTCGCGATAACCGCAATACCGCGCTATTGACGAGCAAACCACGGAATGCAAGAACCGCAGCAACCGCGATTTGTCTTTTTTCGTAAAGTTCTGCCCTTCTCGTTTTACACTTCATGCATGTGGACTGAATATTAAACAAGTTAGTAATGATAAAATGTATACCATGCTGATTTGTACAGAGGCTCTGTAGATTTGCACTTAAGCCTAAACAGACATGTGAATGAAAGGGAGATTGACTGAGAGCGTGCGATTTACTTGCGTCTGTCCTCCAGGCCGAGTCATATATATTTGTGAAAATATGTTGTCATGTCCAAGGAAAGCGAAATCTCTGTCTTCGCATCGACGCATAGCTGGTCAGCTGAGCGTTCTAAAGTGGCGCTCAAAGTTAAAATGATTTCAACAGCGTGTTTCATTACGTTTCTTTGAATGAATGAATCAGCGTTTTTGAACGTGTAGTTGAATGACAGTCCCTTTCCACCACCTTGTGGCGCAACACTGTAACTGCACTGACTGACAGCCCGTCTAGAACACGCACAGGAGGAAATATCAATAGAAAGCCTCTTGTCCAGTCAGATTAGAAAATCAGATTACAACTAGGCTAACTGTTATACACATAGGCTAATGATAGCCTAACGATCGTGTTGTCAGGTTTATGTTCTGTTATGTGAACCGTTATTTTGTTATTCACTTCTGTTTACTTCACTTCCTGTTTCAACGCTATTTGGTTTCGGTTTCATTGTCTTCTGAATATGACCTTGTTAGTTGTAACACATACATACACAAATTATATATGTATATGTATGGCGATAATACCGCATACCGTGCTATTGAGCCACTCAAAATTACCGCAAGGGGACATGCTGCATACTACTTGAAATCTAGTCTGACCATTCAGACTAAGGCTCAGTCTAAATCAGATTTGAATCAGATTTCAAACCACATATCAATGCTGTTTGGCGTGTGTTTGCAAACATTGGATTCTATTTATTGTTCTGCTGTCAGTGCTACTAAAAAAATGGATTTGAGTTGAATATGCCAAAAAAAAATCAGATTTCTTATCACTGTTGCTTCAATCCTTTAGGCCCGTCTGGTCTCTTTATACTTTGACACCAAACGTTATCAAGAGGCTCTACATCTTGGTGAGTCCCTGACAAGACCATCCCTTGTTGTTGACACATTCATATTCTTAAGCTTGAGCGATGTAATTGCGTTCTGTAACCACTGTCCTCTTCTTCCTCATCAATCAGGCTCTCAGCTCCTGCAAGAGCTGAAGAAGATGGATGATAAAGCTCTGCTGGTGGAGCTCCAGTTGCTGGAAAGCAAGACATATCATGCACTAAGCAACTTGCCCAAGGCCAGAGCGGCTCTCACCTCTGCCAGGACCACAGCAAACGCCATCTACTGCCCCCCAAAGCTGCAGGCTGCTCTAGACATGCAGTCAGGTACGTTTCTACAGTCCTTCCACAAAGACCCTCAGTATCACATCAAGTCCTAACCAGGCATGACACCTAATTTGTCCCTCCACACTGAAAGCAAAATTGTTGTTCAACATGATACAATTGCAGCCATTCAGAACATAATTACTTGTATTGTTTAATAAGTTGTATAAGTTCAGAACAGCCCACAGTGAGACATTCACATGCATTGATAGAAAAGGTATTAACGCAACACACATGCACACAGTCTCAAATGCTTACTGCTTACTACAGTAACTGTTAATGTCCACTACAGTGGTTCACTACGGTTCTTCTCAGTGCTGCTTATAATGCTACATCACCTCCACTTTGTGTGTGTCAGTAGCAAGTGTGTTTAATCGGTGTCTCTTTTAACACAGCCAAATTAATCATCACATATACGCGATTACAGTCGGAAGGTTTCAAATGCCCGAAGTAAAGTTACAGTGTCAGTTTCACACTGAAATAGTGAAACTACCTGCCTCTCAACCTGCCAACCAGCATTTAACTTTATATTTGCATAAATGTAAGCGTTTTCCAACCTTTTTGATGCCCTCGGCCACTCTAAGTTCTTTCTCCAGTCCACTGTCAATCCAACAATTCACTGTGCAAGCTTCAAGATCAACTCCCATTAGAAAGAATTGAAAATATTTGCTCTGCTCCACAGTCCACACCAGTGGACACTCACCATTACAGTATTAGCAGCCATACTTCATCCTGCATTAATGGTACTGAGCCATCTTCCTGCAAATGCTTAAATAATAGTTATGTGCATTACTTGAGCTAATTAAATGGAGGGAAAACCGATCGTGCATACTATAGTGATTTACCCGATTTGTCAACATAGGAATTTTGGAGCTCGTATTGGATATACCTATATTCATTGTACTGAGAGTATCACATTCTCTTTTTTTCCCCTTGCAGGCATTATTCACGCTGCTGAGGAGAAGGACTGGAAGACAGCGTATTCATACTTTTATGAGGCTTTTGAAGGCTACGACTCTATTGACAGTCCCCGTGCCATCACTGCACTCAAGTACATGCTCCTCTGCAAGATCATGCTCAACTTGTGAGTCCTGGGTTTTTCTAGTGTCTCTCACGTTTTCTTTTTTCCTCTCTTCATTAAACACTTTGAGCATGTTAAACCTGTATGTCTTTGTTTTTACAGGCCAGAGGATGTGCAGGCCCTGATCAGTGGAAAGCTTGCCCTCAGATATGCTGGCAGACAGGTAAATGACTGAGCCCAAGGGTCTTGTTCATTCAATCTCATGGTGTAGTTTTTCCATGACCTCTGCAAGAAAACAGTCAGCAGCTAAGATCACATTATGATGTTATGTTATTGTGTTTTTTTCATAATAGTTTGAGGTCAAAATCAGATATGGTAATTTACCACTAACAAATCAGCCACGTTTTTGCATGTACCTCAATTTAAATGTTAAGTTGAACCTTCCCATATTTAAGCTTTGCATATTTCATTGTAGTAATTAAGTGAACTTGATGGTCTTATCGTAACCCCCATTTACGCTTATGTTTGAAATTTGGGGGGGGAATTGATACTTCTATTCAGCAAGGGGGCATTAAATTGATCAAAAGTGACAGTAAAGACATTTATAATGTTACAAAAAATGTTCAAATAAATTCAGAATTTTAAATAAATTCTGCTTTCGATTCATCAAAGAATCCTGGGGAAAAAATGATTCACAGTTTCCACAAATATATTAAGCAGCACAACTGTTTTCAACATTGATGATAATAAGAAATGTTTCTTGAGCAGCAAATCAGCATATTAGAATGATTTCTGAAGGGTCAAGTGACACTGAAGACTGGAGTAATGACTGCTGAACATTCAGCTTTGCATCACAGAAATAAATCACATTTTAAAATATATTAAAATAGTTATTGTTCAATTGTAATAATATTTCACAATATTACTGTTTTACTATTTTTGATCAAATAGATTTGAGCATAAGATACTTCTTTCAAAAACATCTTTAAAAAATCTTAGTAACCCTAAAATTTTGAATAGTAGTGTAATTTGAAGTTTAAATTACAGCCTGGGGTGGAAAATGTTTCTGGAGGAGCCTGATACTTACCTGGTACTTAGACTGACATTAAAATACCATTCCAGACTGCAGCACACATTTCATAGCATCCAACCATTTTCACTTTTATATGACCCTGTATTGCCCTCTAATATGCACTCAGCCACAGCACCTGACCCTGTGTGCTGCTTGACAAGGCGACATTTTTCTGTTGTGTCTGTTGACACATTATGTGGATCAACTTGTCCTGTCTCTCTCTTTCTGTAGACAGATGCACTTAAATGTGTAGCCCAAGCCAGCAAGAACAGGTCACTTGCAGACTTTGAGAAGGTGGGTCAGATGCCCTGACTTAAAATGTTACCACGTTTTCAGTCCACCTGCTGTTTTTTACATTTGGTGTCCTTCTCTTTGATGTGCACTTAGGCTTTAACAGAATACAAAGCTGAGCTACGGGAGGATCCTATCATCAGCACCCACCTGGCCAAACTCTATGACAATCTGCTGGAACAAAACCTAATAAGGGTCATCGAGCCCTTCTCCAGAGTGCAGGTAATGACATGGTTTACCTCAGTGCGAGGTGATGTGTGCTTAAAATATTGTTGTGTACTAACATTGTTCTCTTATGCCGACAGATTGAACACATTTCTGAGCTAATAAAACTCTCCATGGTAAGGACTCGTCCCTTCAAATTTGCAATTAAAACATCAACAGTATCTTCTACCTGTTGCTTTATATGGCAAGCAAATTCTCACTGTTCCTTTTATTGCCATGTGTGTCAGTAATGTGTGCAGTTTTGTTTCAAGCAATTATCTTCCTTTCTCTTCCCTTTTCTCTTCAGGGGGATGTTGAAAGGAAACTGTCACAGATGATTTTAGACCAGAAATTCCATGGTGTGCCCTCATCCTTGTCTTTTACTTGAGAAGTGTGCTGTCAAACATAGGACTGGGTATCAATACAGATTTACATATTCGATTACGATTTTGATTTGATTTCTTTATTTGGGTACAATTTAGTTACAAATTAAAGAGATTCTCTCTTCTAATGCTGTAAATTATACACCGTAATTGATTTTTATTAGATTTTATTTGAGGAGACTGATTGCCTCTAACCATTTAAGTTGAAAAAAAGTAATATTTATGAGTACTTTCATTTCTTAGTATAAAAGTAAACTATAAACTCTGCTTAAATACCTGGTAGCGCTGAAACTTTACTGAATTGAAAACATATTTGTCATATTAAGAAAAATAAAATGAACTCAAAACCCTTGCAGTAACATTTAATTTTAACATATATTCTTATACAGTCCAAAGCGAAGCGTGCTGCGAGATAAAAATCTGCTATAACTCATTCAGTTTGCATTCTGCTTAATGTAATCAGTTACAGAGTTCACATAAATATGTGCTTCTGTACAAGATCCTAGGATTCAGAGATCACCTGATTGGCATGTTTTGGGGATTTTACTAGCATTTTTTTACTTCAAATTAATTCTAATTTGATATTTTTTGTGTTTGTATGAAAATGATGTGTAATACTGTTTCTTCTCACAGCTTAATATGACTGCATATAAGATATTTGCTTGTCGATTCATCTGAAACGTGTAGAACGCCCTGTTTGCTAGAGCATCTTGGTTGTGGAGGTCTGTAATACCCATTAACAATTGGAGTAAACAAGTTTTGATTGATAGGGCCCAATAATAATAATAATAGTCTTCAGTTTTGTGATGCAAAAGAATTTAAGTATTTTATATTAACAATTTAGATTCTACGTTTTATTTAGTAATAACAAAACATTTTAGAGTCTTTATTTTATGAGCTAAGTCAATTATGACCGTGAAATTGTAATAACGTATGTTCTAAATGTGATCTTATTAGAACGTTCTAGAGCACTATGCCAATCCATGACATCATTAACTGCGTGAACAACTGACTCGTTTTTTGAAACCGTTCTCTGAAACGATCTGTTCGAAAGAGTCGATTCACGAAATGAGTCAAAATTCCCGTCTCTAGGGCGAAGCGCGCATGCGCAGCTCTCGCCTGTGTCGCTGTCCGCTGCTGTGGTGCTGCTCTAGTACTGCTGCGTGGACCTCTTCCGAGCGGAATCACCTAACGCAAACATGGCGACCCGGGTAAGATATGCTTCCATTTGAATTATTCAACGAATAACCTTATACGATATTGAGCACTGAGTTTAAATGTAATATAATATTTCACAATTATCGCTCTGGAGAAGAGCTTTAGCGTCTCATCAAAAAATAAAAAACCTTTCCAGTTTGATGCCAGCCACTGGCATCTTTCCGCAATATCATCAGCCTACAGACAGTAGCAGGTGGCGATACGGTCAACTGTGACCACCAATGCAGATCTGCAGCGATATTGCTGGTTTTTGGTTTACATTACAATTCATAGCATGCTAATATATGGCTACCGCACAAGGATACGCGGGAAGCTTTGAACAATAATAATAATACTCCCTCATGAGTGCTCGAATCTCGGTGGTGGCACGAGAACATTCATTTTCCAGCATTTGGGTGCATCGTGAAATAGTGGTGATTGGTTGTTTCTAGTCTCAGCCCATCGGTAAACAGGCAAATGCTTAAAATAGAACCGAGGAGGTTGTCCATTTGCTTTAGACCATCGATAAGGTACAACGTGATCGAGCAGGCGGTTGTTTCATATTAATAATTTAATATCGTTTATAATAATGTATATTTTCAGTAGCCATGTACCGTATTTTGTGCTGCAGAACGCTGTCAGGAAGAGTGAAATGACAGGACTGTGCTCGTTCAGCGGATTTAACCTTGACATGGCTCGCGTAATGCTCACATAAGCTCATCACACCACACTGTTTCTGCTTTGAAAGCTCGCGATGAATGAGCAAGCCTGTGATTTCGCAGCTAAAATCATGCATTCGCTTCAAAATCTCCACAGAAACACATTGCTTTCCCAATACGAAAGTATTTTGTGCGCAAAACTACAGCACTCCCTCTCCGTGCTGCAGGATGGAGCGCTGTAGGTCTGAACGGGTGCTTGTTATTGAGAATAATGCTTTCAAAATGGCATCATTGTCTTTAGTTTTATTTGTGGATAAACTGAGATTTCAGTGTTCCATTTAAGCCCTTGTTAAATTTTCCACCTACCTATTTATTTGGTATATTATATATATATATATATATATATATATATATGTTTATTTTTATAATTTATTTTAATGATAATTTTATGATATATATATATGTGTGTGTGTGTGTGTGTGTATATATGTGTGTATATGTGCGAGATCATGTAGTTCATACTCTCTAAATGCACTGCAATATAGTGGGTGATTTTAATTAAGGTGACAATGAAGCCAAATACTATAGGGACATTAATATACTATAGGGACCTCTGCTCAATCTGGAATTAAACCAAACCATGCATGTTTCATCTGGCCAGAGGAGAACTGGCCCCCCTGACTGAGCCTGGTTTCTCCCAAGTTTTTTTTTTCTCAATTTCTGTCACCGATGGAGTTTTGGCTCCTTGCCACTGTCGCTTTTGGCTTGCTTAGTTGGGGACACAATTTCTGGCAACATTGCTGACTTGACTGCACAGACACTATTGGAAGAGAACTGAACTGAGCTGGACGATGACAACACTGAATCAACAATGAACTGATTTTAACTGATAGACTGTATTGGTATTGTATAATGCGCTATATAAAGAAAGGTGACTTGACTTGACTAATAAACCACAATAGGTATAATTGTGGGATGTAATGGGACAATTAGGCACAATCAAAATGCAATAAAAATAAACACCTTGATCCATTAAATTATATATCTTTTATGCAATCTGCCTGTATCATAATTGTTTTATGTATTTGTATGTGTATATATATATATGTGTGTGTGTGTGTGTGTGCATAAAAGATTGCAGATTATATAGTCACAGTTTAATAGCTGTCACTGTATTTAATGGCTTTAGTATGCTTAAGGTGGGACAGAACACGCCAGTGAAAGAGCAGGTGAAAGCTGTTCAGAAATTTGTAAATGCCTGTCACACTCCCACGAACAACTGTAAGAAAAGATGAGCATTTATGAGTCACACAGTGTCAGTGCCCAATGCCCATCATGTTCTCTGGAGCGATTCTACTGAAGAAGATATAAATCAAGATGAGAGTGAAGAGAGTGAACATTGGAAAATCTGTTATTCAGGTTGTATTTGCTGAGATGCCATTGTCAGCAGAACAATTTCTTCATTCTTTTGATTATGATGAGATATTTCTTGTAAGCTGCATTGATCAAACTAAACCAAGGCAGATGAACTCTGTGTGGGCATCCTTCACCCACCGAGTTCAGCTCAGTGTTAAATTATTTAATACTTTCACTGGCTTCTCAGAGAGAGTATGAATGATACACAGTCTGGTTGTGTCTGTCATAATGCTCTCTAGATGTATGTGAGTTCTGCTCAATATCTGTTAGGATGAACTGAAGGAAGAATATGACATTTTCCTTTGTGAGTATCGCCCATGAGTACTGGTTGTCTCTTAAGAGAATTTCCCCTTTAAATTCCATTTCCTCTGCTTTAAATAAATGCTTCTTGCTTCTGTAGCACTAATATACATCGCTTTATTTAATCAAAAATGGCTACCAGATAAATCTTTTTTTATATTAGTGAAAAGGCTTCTGTGAGCATCAAAAAGTGGCATGGGCACTAGAATAACTGCCAAGCTCTATTAAATTTGAATGAATAATTTATATTTTTGAGAAATCTGGCCATCACTTGTGGCTCTAATCAAAGCCCTGCATGAAAGCTATTTTTTGTATTGTTATGAATGCCACACAGCTAATTAACATCATATGAGGTTTATTATCATCTATACATTTAAAGCAACGTTAATTTCATTTTACCCATTAAAACCAGTATTTGCGGACATTAATGGTTTCTTGCTTCAATTAACTCACAAGCAGCAATCTTCATCATGCAATTATTTCACATCAAGCAACTAAATGCATGCCAAAAAAAACGGATCAGAAGTGATTTAAAGTTTTCTCTCTGTCCCGGAAATGATTTCAACTAAGATCTCCCTCTGGGGTAATTAAAAGCAAGTGATAAATTGGAAAAGTTTCAGGAATTGCAAGTCATGTTCTAACAGTGATATATAATTTACATCAGGCTCATCTACTGTTCATTTTTTTATTCACCTTTTTTACATTTTCTTTCTTATTTTTCTTTAAACTGCTTTGACTGTAGTTTTTCTCAGAATGATTTTCAGTTAAAGCCCATTAAACTATAATAATAACTATAATGATAATTATATCAGTGATCATTATACCAACACGTTGTATCGTTCTGTTTATCATAAGCGTGTGCTGCTGTTTTGTCATCTGTTTTAAATGCTCAAGCTCTTTAAAGTCATGTGGATTCTGACTGGCTGTCAGTGCTTTTATCGTGCATCAGCTGGAAAAAAAATCGTTCTGTTGTTGTCGTTATAGTTGTGGTGTGGACTGCCCTATTCTCACAGAATTAGAATGATAACTAAATTATATGGTTATTATTATAGTTACCGTCCTTGGTCTTGCCTTTTGGACTTTAGCCTTTTGCAGTTGACCAATCAGGAAGCTTGAATGCATAATTTCCATGATGGGTTATGAGGAGAGGTTTTCTCAGTGTTATTTGTCTTGCATTAATCTTCTTGTTTTGCATGCTGTGATATAAGGATCATCCTTCATTAAGTGTGATACATCAGGGGTACAATCCATAAACCAAAAGTAATGCAAGCCACCCCTGCGTCCCAGTGTAATTAATTCATTACATTTATATAGCGCTTTTCTAGGCACTCAAAGTGCTTTACATTGTCAGGGGGTATCTCCTCATCCACCACCAGTGTGCAGCATCCACCTGGATGATGCGACGGCAGCCATAGTGCGCCAGAATGCCCACCACACACCAGCTTATTGGTGGAGAGGAGACAGAGTGATGAAGCCAATTAACAGATATGGGGATTGTTAGGAGGCCATGATGGTCAGAGGCCAATGGGCAAATTTGGCCAGGATGCCGAGGTCACACCTCTACTCTTTTCGAAAGACATCCTGGGATTTTTAATGACCACAGAGAGTCAGGACCTCGGTTTAAAGTCTCATTCGAAGGACGGTGCTTGTTGACAGTATAGTGTCCCCGTCACTATACTGGGGCGTTAGGACCCACACAGACCACAGGGTGAGCACCCCCTGCTGGCCTCACTAACACCTCTTCCAGCAGCAACCTAGTTTTCCCAGGAGGTCTCCCATCCAGGTACTGACCAGGCTCAGCCCTGCTTAGCTTCAGTGGGTAACCAGTCTTGGGCTACAGGGTGATATGGCTACCGTAATCCAGTAGTCTAACCATTTGAGGCATCTGTGACATCCAGAAATCTCTGCATTGGTTGAACCTTTGTTTGTCTGTTGACGTAAACTAATAATGCTTAATCATACGCTCAGGTTAGATAAAGTCATTAGCTCGTTACAAGAGCAGTTGTTTCCAGCCCTGTGACAGGATGTCCTCTGTGGAGTCAGGAGTTTCTTCTCAACAGTATTGATCAGACTTCTCCTCATTCCCAACCTCATTAAACATGTAGTAGTGCTGCTTGAAATAGATTTTTACTCACCACACTGACTGATGAAATGGCATGCAGCATTTTATTTTGTAAATTCAGTGCTGAATTATACTGCGGTTGTCTTTTTCAAAGCTTATTTATTTGCTCAAATATTCATTAGCTCGTTACAAGAGCAGTTGTTTCCAGCCCTGTGACAGGACGTCCTCTGTGGAGTCAGGAGTTTCTTCTCAACAGTATTGATCAGACTTCTCCTCATTCCCAACCTCATTAAACATGGAGAGTAGTGCTGCTTGAAATAGATTTTTACTCACCACACTGACTGATGAAATGGCATGCAGCATTTTATTTTGTAAATTCAGTGCTGAATTATACTGCGGTTGTCTTTTTCAAAGCTTATTTATTTGCTCAAATATAGGCTGCATTTATTTGATCAAAAATACAGTAAAACGGTAATATTGTGAAATAATATTACAATTTAAAATAAGTTTTCTATTTTACATACTTTAAAATGTAATTTATTCCTGTGATATCAAAGCTGAATTTTCAGCAGCAATTTCCATATGCTGGTTTGTTGCTCAAGAAACATTTCTTATTATTATCAGTGTTGAAAACAGTTGTGCTGCTTCATATTTTTATGGAAACCACGATACTTTTTTGTCAAGATTCTTTGATTAATAGAAAGTTAAAAAGAACAATCGAGTTCTTGGTAGGTCTTAAAAAATTGGAAAATAAAACCTCAGATTAACAAAAACAAAGCCAAGATGGAAAAGCCATGTGTGACAAAGTTAGGACACCCTTACTGTTAACATAGGAATGAAGAGGGTAAGTAACGGTCAGGCACTGCTAATCAAATGCCTTTGAGTAACTGATCATCAGCAAGTATGAACTCTAAAAAATGCTGGGTTGTTTCAACCCAATGTTGGGTCAAATATGGACTAACCCAACTGTTGGGTTAAATTTTGTAAAAAAATTTAATTAGCTTTTTAACCCAACAGTTGGGTTAGTACATATTTGACCCAACATTGGGTTTAAACAACCCAGCATTTTTTAGAGTGTAAGCAGCTCAGGAATGAAGAGGGTAAGTAACGGTCAGGCACTGCTAATCAAATGCCTTTGATTAACTGATCATCAGCAAGTATGAACTCTCAAATATGGACTAACCCAACTGTTGAGTTAAATTTTGTAAAAAAAATATAGGAATGAAGAGGGTAAGTAACGGTCAGGCACTGCTAATCAAATGCCTTTGATTAACTGATCATCAGCAAGTATGTTGGGTCAAATATGGACTAACCCAACTGTTGGGTTAAATTTTGTAAAAAAATTTAATTAGCTTTTTAACCCAACAGTTGGGTTAGTACATATTTGACCCAACATTGGGTTTAAACAACCCAGCATTTTTTAGAGTGTAAGCAGCTCTATAAAAGCAGAAGTTTTGGCAGTTTGCTGGTCTGGAGCCTTCAGGTGTTTGTTAACACAATGTCAAAGAGGAAAGACATCAGCAATGATCAAGCAATTGCTGCTGCCATCAATCTGAGAAGAGTAATATGGCCATTTCCAAACAATTTGAAGTCCATCAGTCTACAGTGAGGAAGTTTACAGTGGAAGACATTCAAAACAGACACCAATCCTCCCAAAAGTGGACGTCCCAGGAAATTCACCCCAAGAACAGACAGTGTAAAGCTCAGAATAATGGCAGACAACCTAAGAACTTCACTGCAGACTCTACAGGCCTCAGTTAACATCTTAAATGATAAAGTTATTGACAGTTCAATTAGAAAAATATGGGACAAGTATGGCATATTTGGAAAGCTTGCCAGAAGAAAGCCTCTTCTCTCTAAAGTAACATGGCAGCACGGTTTAGGTTTGCACAGTTGCATCTGATCAAACCATAAGACTTCTAGAACAATGTCCTTTGAACAGACGAGACCAAAGTGGAGATGTTTGGCCAAAATACACAGTGCCATATTTAGTGAAAACCTAAAGAGCATATCAGCACAAACACCTCAAAAGGCACACATGCTGGTGGAGGGCTGATGATTTTGAGCTTGTCTTGTAGCCACAGGAACTGAGCACCTCACAGTCATTGAATCGACCATGAACTCCTCTGTATACCAAAGTATTCTAGAGTCAAATTTGAGGCCATCCGTCCGACAGCTAAAGTTGGGCCAAAATTGGGTCATGCAACAGGACAATGATCCCACGCACTCCAGCAAATCTACAACAGAACGTCTGAAAAGAAAAGAATCAAGGGGTTGCAGCAGTCCAGTCAAAGTCCAGACCTCATCCTGACTGAAATGCTGTGGCGAGAGCTGTGCATAACAAATGCCCACAAACCTCAATAAACCCGACCAGCGTTGTAAAGAAGAGTGAGACAAAATTCCTCCAGATGATGTGAGGGACTGATAAAGTAATAAAGAAAATTATTACTTCAAGTTATTGCTACTAAAAGTGGATCTACAGGCAATTGAATCATAGGGTGTCCTAACTATGTCTTTTCCATCTTGGCTTTATTTTTGTTAAATAAATAACAAACACGGTGTGATATGTCATGTGTTGTTGTTCATCTGAGGTTTTATTTTCTAAATTTTAAGACCTGCCAAGGACCAGATCATTTTTATTATGTCCTGACTCCCAATACAGAAAACCATGGAATTCAATAGGGTGTCCAAACTTTTTCACATGACTGTATATATATATATATATATATATATATATATATATATATACTGTATATACGTACCTACTACTATCTAGTATATATACATACTATATATACATACTACTATATTATATTTTTATATTTATGTAATTTTTAGGGCTTTTTTTTTCATTAGGAAAATTGATTATGGTCGATAAAATCTTAGAGTTCTGTTTTCACTAAAGATTTGTTTTGTTGTTGTTGTTGCTTTAATCTCTCTCCTGATATGATGACTTGTGTTCACATATAATATATTTTTCAGCATGTGCATTAAACCCTATTAATGCAACTTTTCATATTTCATATGACTGACAAAAGTACTGTACATACACATTCCCCTACCATATCGCACATGTCTGTATATATATATATATATATATATATATATATATATATATACTGTATATACGTACATACTACTATCTAGTATATATACATACTATATATACATACTACTATATTATATTTTTATATTTATGTAATTTTTAGGGCTTTTTTTTTCATTAGGAAAATTGATTATGGTCGATAAAATCTTAGAGTTCTGTTTTCACTAAAGATTTGTTTTGTTGTTGTTGTTGCTTTAATCTCTCTCCTGATATGATGACTTGTGTTCACATATAATATATTTTTCAGCATGTGCATTAAACCCTATTAATGCAACTTTTCATATTTCATATGACTGACAAAAGTACTGTACATACACATTCCCCTACCATATCAGGGTTTGATTTGCCTGTGATTTGCCTTTGCTGCTCCTTCAACCACACTTGCAGTTAATCCTGATTCTGCTCTGCATGCTGCCTCACGCTGCACAATCTATTATTCCTCAACCACATGCTGTCTTCGGCTCAGTGTGGTGCTGGCTGTCTCAACTGTTTGTCTTATGTCCTTCTGCCCTCCCTCTTGCTTGCGTGCATTCATTGGCCCCCAAGGTTGTAATATTTTTCAAGGTATGTATGCTTTCCAAATACCCTCTGCCTCTGCTTGTCTCGCTTGCCAGATTGAGCTGTATGCTTCACTTACACTAGCTTTCTGCATCACCCTTAGTGTCCTGAGAGCTGACAGGCTGTAACCCCTGTTTCCGTGACACTTCTTGGTAGCAACCACTGGAGGGAGCACTACAGCGTTACAATGCCCAAACTGCGTCACAATGCCATAAACACAAACCATCCAACTCAAGATCATCTGCCTGTGGACAAATAAATGTTGATTTGAGGTTGAGTACTAAAGGGCCAGCTATAACGACTGAATGGTGTGCGGGCCTGTGGTGAGTTTATGGTGCGTGCTGGCAGGAAGCCATGGATTATTGCTATTCTGACCTGCAACTAAAGTAGGTCTAATAGCTGGACTGCTCTTCGTTAACCGGATTATGTCAGCCTGTTGAGTTAACATCCACACCCAGGCTTTGAATCAGATACAAACCCTCAAAGAGCCATTTACTGTCCTCTAGTTCTGCTTCCTGGCCTCACACTGGAATAAATCCAAAATCTTGCCTTTTAATTTATTTCAGTGGAATATTGGTGTTTATTAAAAATGATTTATCTGTGAACATTATTACTTTGTTTTTTAATTCATCTGTCCTCGTAATCTTTCATTATAATCACTCTTCTCTGATAACGTGTGCACTGGCATGAGGGCTGGACAATAATCCCTCCCCTCCAGCAATCTGTCAGTCACCATTTGCAATTCAAAAGTAGCAAAGATCCAACGATTAAATGAATTTCAGGTGGAACATGTCAAGTCCCGTAAATGTTTCTCATTCGAGAAGCCATTTCACTCAGATATACATCACAATAAGGAAGAAAAGACGATCACAGCTTTCATGCTGAATTTAATGCAAAAATGGTACCTTTAGGGGTACAACAGCTTATCACTCCTCTAAACAATATCTCTAAAAAGTATATATAATGTAAGTATACATAAGTACCTAATATGTACCCTTAAAGGGATAGTTCACCCAAAAATGAAAATTTTGAAAAAATGAAAATACAATCGGGAGTTATATAAAAAAATGTCCTGGCTCTTCTTGGTCGAGATTTTGAAGCAAAATAAAGTGCATCCAGCGCTGGGGGGTTAATAAAGGCCTTCTGAAGTGAATTGATGCATTTGTGTAAGAAAAATATCCATTTAAAACTTTAGAAACTGTAATCTCTGGCTTCCGCTAACTGTCGTAAGCACATTTACAAGAGAGTGGTGTTCCAGCGGATGACGAAGAAAGTAGGTGTAGTGTATGCGCAATGTGTACTTTATGATGGATGGATGCATTTTTTTGGGCTTCAAAATCTTGACCTCCATTCACTACCATTATAAAGCTTGGAAGAGCCAGGACATTTTTAAATAACTCCGATTGTATTCGTCTGAAAGAAGAAAACAATATGCACCTAGGATGGCTTGAGGATGAGTAAATCAAGGGGTAGTTTCATTTTTGAGTAGTACTATGAATCTTATAGGAGTATAAAGATTTGCACATTTTGTCTGAGAGTGTTATTAACTTTCCAGAATTCTCAGTTTAGGTTAATTTACATTTTCAGTGTTTATTTGTATTAAGTTTGTGCTGTTCTATAGGCAAGTGTTCTTCATTATGTACAGAAAAAGCATTGCCAAGTTTTCATTAACAACAAAATCATTGCAATGGACTGATGTTTAATCTTTATTGTCACAATTTTCAGGATAATACTACAATACTTTACAATACTAAATCTTTAGGATGCGAAACCAGTATAAATTCTCAAAAAATGTTCCAAGAATTGTGAAACATTTAGGAGTAATTCTCTCTCTTTATGTATCTCATAATGTTAATTTAACAGTGTTAACTAATGTTACTAGAAATTAGCAGTAACTTTTTATTAGTAACTGATTAATAAATGCAGTGAAATCATTGATTTTAAGTTCATGTGGCTTTAACTACCTGGAAATGCAAAAATCTATCTATTTAAAAAATGTTTATAAATCTGAGCTATGTAGTTTTTGTTCTCTTAATCTCTAATTGTTTTGAATCATTCATTATCTTTCTTTCTGCAGCACTCTGTTCTTTTCATATACCCAGATGGGAACAGCGTGCAGCCCTGCTTTCAATTCCCTCTCCTTTTTCTTCTTTCCTTCTTTTGTAGTCTGTTTTATTTATGGTTCTTTGGCTGGTTGCAACCAAAGGAGCAAATAAAGCTAGAACACCCTTGAACCTTCACTGTCAGTCTTTGCTTAAAATATTTATTTGTCTTTTATGTTTCTCAGTTACCCATGTTGAACGCATTAGGTGACTGGTGCTCTCTTGTAGACAGATTTATGATTATATTTTTTGCTACTGTTCCCTTGCCTTTTTGTTTATTGCCTCATTTGTTGTTATCCAACACTGTTTATGTCTAACCCCTAGTATTATTGGTTTGGGGTTTGTAGAATCTCTATTGCAATAAAACATGATGCATGTGATTCTGGAAGGGATGATTAGATGAGGTCTTTAAAAGAATCGCAATGCTTCGAATGTTGGACAAGTTTTCAGCTTGCACAGTAGAAACAGCTTTCCATCTTGCTGTTTTGCACCATGGGATTTCCTATTTTTAAAAATCTGAAAATGCCATTGCCATCATATGGTGTGGTTAAATTTTTCATGAGGAAAAAGATCTTTTCACATAAGCAATGACACCCAGTGAGCTAATATAACAAGATGCAAATATTAAAGGGGTCATATGATGTTGCTAAAAAGAACATTATTTGGTGTATTTGGTGTAATGCAATGTGTTTATGCAGTTTAAGGTTCAAAATACACATTATTTTCCACATACTGTACATTATTGTTTCTCCTCTATGCCCCGCCTTTCTGAAACGCTCGATTTTTACAAAGCTAATCGATTTGAAAAGCGAGGTGTGCTCTGATTGGCCAGCTATCCAGTGCATTGTGATTGGCCGAATACCTCAAGCGTGTGACAGAAATGTTACGCCACCGCTGAAGTGTGTAATTTCTGTGCCACTAGCGCCACCAAGTGAAACTACAAAGGTGGTTCTCAAACAAGTTTCCCTGAAGACTCCCCCTAACTGCCATTGGCCAGTCAATCTGATAGTCCCGGCCCCCAATCCATGCCATTGGTTGAGCCAATGTTGTTCTGTTTTTGCTGCTCAAATAAATATAACTATTTACCAAAAGTGCCACAGAGCCTGAGGGAAATGAACGGATGATGCTTATTTGTACTTCTCTTTGATATTAACTGAATAGAAGAAAAAAAAATTACACACATCATCACCTTTAAGCTTCAGCATCAATGACCAGATGTCTTGTTCTCATGTAAGGCAAACTTCTCTTCTGCTTCTCACCATCTTACTCTCTCTCTTTATTATTATCTGTCTCTGTGCAGACGATGCAAGCGGCTCGATGCCCGACAGATGAGCTGTCACTGACGAACTGTGCAGTTGTGAGTGAGAAAGACCTGCAGTCTGGACAGTGAGTATTTACACGCACCACAGATTCATCACATTTGCACACGGAAATCAATCAAATGATACAACGGCCAGTAGATACTTTTCAGTTTAGCTTTATTGTAGATAGGAACGTATTATATATACTATACATAATGTTATAATGCTATTCAGGTGAAGTGAATAACATTGATTATGTTGTTACAATGGCACCAGTCAAGGGGTGGGATAAAACAGTGTTAGGCAGCAAGTGAACAGTCAGTTCTTGAATTTCATAGGTTTGATACAGGGAAAAATGGGCACGTGAAAAGGTCTGAGTGACTTTGACAAAGGCCAAATTGTGATGGCTAGACGACTGAGTCAGTCCATCTCAGAAACGGCATGTCTTGTAGGGTGTTCCCTGTTTGCAGTACCTACCAAAATGGTGCAAGGAAGGACGACCGGTGAACCGGCATCAGGGTCATGGGCGCCCAAGGCTTTCTGATCCACGTGGGGAGCAAAGGCTAGCCTGTCTAGTCCAATAAAAACTATTGTAGCTCAAACCATTCAAAGACTTGCTGGCCATGATAGAAAAGTGTCAGAACACACAGTGCATCCCAGTTTGTTGTGTATGGGGCTGACGGTCTTAATGACCTTGATGACCCCTGTCCACTGCAAGAAGCGCTAAGAAATGAAAGTGACCAAAGTGTAACATTTCATATGTCTTAACATTCTATTCTCATGGATTTAATAGAAAGTTAAATTATTTTGGGTTTAGTAGAAAAAAATATGCCTAAACATGATTTGTAAGAGAAAAATACCCCTAAAAATCACCACTATGGGGCAAATACTGCCCCTTAATAAAAACGTTCCTGTCATGGACCCCCTACAATTTTATTTTGAGTTGTGGATACATTAATCATATGTAATGTGTAGTACACAATATCTTTTTGTAGTTTTATCATATGGGTACATCTAACACTGTAGGGAAAGTTTCAAACATATAGTTAATGCTCTAGCAGCAGAGCTGGTGATTTTCCCTAGGCTTCAAGTGTGTGTGTGTCCTGAATGCTGAATCAGTCCAGATATTAACTCAGGCTGACAGAGTCTGCTGCAGTGCCTCTTGCTGATGCCTCATGTCCAAGAATATCACAGCATGAGAGCTGATTTTTGTCGCCATATTAATATATGGCATGTTAGTGTGTGATATTTAAAAATTGTAAAAATGTTTATGCAGACACATTTATCCAAAGTGAATTACAACAATTAGTATTATTTATAATAATAATTAAATTATTATTAATTTTGGTGTGTTTTTGTTTTGATGGAAATAACAATAAAGATAGTGGTCAAAGCTTCCACTTAGACCCTAACTAGTAAGTCATCACATGTATAAATATATTATCCATGATTATGATTAACCTGTGCTCAAACTGAATGAATTGTTGCGTGATGTAAGGTTACTAAAAAGGAGCCATTGTCAGTCATTCACACATATAATCCAATGTGCTAATCTCATGCAGTTGTAAATGTGGGGAGTAATGTGGGGAAAAACTGCCCTTTTACAAGTTAAAATGATGTTTCCGGGCATAAAACCACCATAGTTTCTGTTAAACATTGTATTTTTTGATCCTTGTGTCATTAGAAGTTGAATATTTTCTGCCTCTCTCGCCAGGCATGTTACTGTGAGGACAACACCCGCCCACAAGTTTGTGTTCACAGTGAAGTGTCACCACTCAGTGCTTCCTGGAACCATCGCTTTCAGTTTGCCACAGGTGCTGGACTCCGGCCAAGATCTTTTACTTTTGACACAAGCACAACAGAAGACAAACACTTAACATTTTATCCCAAGCAACAGCTAACCTAACAGATTTAAAGGGCTAGTTCACCTGTACGATGTTCTTTCTTCTGTGGAACATAAAAGAAGTTATTCTGAAGAACGCTGATAACCAAACAGTTTTGGTTACCACTGACTTCCACTGCATGGACAAAAACATTCCTCAAAATATCTTATTTTATGTTCCACAGTAGAAAGAACTGGTTTGGAATGACACAAGAGTGAATAAATGATTACATAATTTTAATTTTGGGGTGAACTGTCCCTTTAAGTACAGATAATCAGACAGTGCTTGTATTTTTATAGACTTTTTGCTGTTTTATTCATTCTCTTCTTTTTCTTAAAGAGGAAATGGGCAGGCCTGTCCATCGGACAAGAAATAGAAGGTGTGTACATTGCTCTTGGATGAACATTTGCAACAAATACACAATTTTAAGATCAAAAACGAATTTTTCCCCCCATGATTTCAGTGGCCAACTACAACTATGACAAATCCAAGCAGTGCATTGGTGCCATGACCATTGAGATTGACTTCCTGCAGAAGAAGAGCACTGACTCCAATCCCTACGACTCAGATAAAATGGCTGCTGAGTTTATTCAGCATTTCAACAATCAGGGTTTCACTGTGGGGCAGCAGGTCAGAATCACATCACAAAAACTGAATAAATGGTATCTGATGTTTAATTATACATGCTCATTTTTTTTGTCTTGTGCATTTCCTGTCATAGCTGGTCTTCAGTTTCTGTGACAAGCTCTTTGGCCTATTTATCAAGGACATTGAGGCGATGGACTCCAGCATTCTGAAGGGCGAACCAGAATCTGGCAAAAAGCAAAAGGTTTTGAAAAGAGAACAAAATATTCTGTATTTGCACTGTAATGTCATTGTTTTGACCCAGCGGTTGGGTTCAAAACAACCCAACCGCTGGGCCAAAACAACCCAATAGCTGGGTTTGTCCCTTTTTAACCCAGCATTTTTTAGAGTTTATATATATAATGTAATTTATGTGAATACACGGTTAATTATCCTTTGTTCACAGATTGAAATCGGTCTGTTGGTTGGAAACAGTCAAGTGATTTTTGAAAAATCAGAGAGCTCGTCTCTTACTCTAGTTGGTGAGTTTTGTCACACTTGAAAATAAGTTTCTATTCATTGTCATATAATCAGCTTCCTAACTCGGCTCCTCCTCCTCACTAGGTAAGGCCAAGACCAAAGAAGCCCGTCAGACGATCATTAACCCTGAGTGGAACTTTGAGAAAATGGGCATCGGTGGTCTAGACAAGGAGTTCTCCGATATCTTCCGCAGGGCTTTTGCCTCTCGAGTTTTCCCGCCAGACATTGTGGAGCAGATGGGTATGTGCTGTCTTCACTTTCCATTTTGTTGTGTAATCTTGTAAAAAGCATCCACTGACCACGACGGTCCATTTATATTGATATTTGTAATTATAATAAATGCATTACTCAGATGCATTGATTGTGGATAATGTGTTTTTGGGAGTTTGTGTTGTAAAAGTGAGTTGTTTTCTCTGCAGGTTGTAAGCATGTGAAAGGCATCCTGCTCTTTGGTCCTCCTGGCTGTGGTAAAACACTGATGGCCAGGCAGATCGGTAAGATGCTGAACGCCAGAGAACCAAAGATAGTCAACGGACCAGAGATCCTCAACAAGTACGTTGGTGAATCTGAGGCCAATATTAGGAAACTGTTCGCAGATGCTGAGGAGGAACAGAAAAGGGTGAGATGACAAAATGCCCTCTTAAACACACTACTGTCTTCTATTGCGTCATTATAATTATGTGTTTTTCTGTGCAGTTGGGTGCTAACAGTGGCCTGCATATCATCATCTTTGATGAACTGGATGCTATCTGTAAGCAGCGTGGTACAAGTTCCGGCAGCACAGGTGTGCACGACACTGTGGTCAACCAGCTCCTGTCCAAGATCGATGGAGTGGAGCAGCTCAACAACATCCTTGTCATCGGTGAATAGCAGCAGTTATTATATGTTCTGTTGCTTTGCAATATCTAGTGGTCATAATCGAACTATAAATCTATGACTGCAAGTAAATACTACATACCTAGTTTTTTGCAAATCTAATATGACTTTTGAAAAAAAAAAAAAAGATTGATTAATGTACCAAAATGTCTGTAGTTTTTATTAATAATATCAAAATAAATGCATATAATAAATGTATATAATTAATTATTTTTGATTGTTATTAAAAGCTACACATTTTATAATAATAATAATTATTAGTAGTAGAAGTAGTATTTAAGTTTATAACTAATCCAATGTGGCTTGAAAGAAATTATGATAAACGATGATAACAATGATTATAATTATGTAATATTATCATTATTATTATTAAAAACTAAATATTTTAATATAATAATAACTAATACATTTTTCATAAAAAAATCATTTTTATAATTGTTTATTATTAAATTACTGTCAAGTTTTTAATACATTATTCATAATAAAAGTCACTGCAAAATATTAATGAATATTCTCTTTTTTATTTAGTTTTTTCTAACCTGTGCATTTGTCTTTATGTGAAAGGCATGACTAACAGGCCTGACCTGATAGATGACGCTTTGATGAGACCTGGACGATTTGAAGTAAAGATGGAAATTGGTAGGACCTTGCTCTTTGTTCAGCAACCAAAAAACTAATAATAATAAATTCAACACTCTCTCTATCTTGGTTCATTCTTACCTATTTGCCTACATCTCATCACCCAGGTTTGCCAGATGAAAAGGGCCGTGTTCAGATCCTGAACATTCACACAGCTAAGATGAAAGAGTTTAACCTCCTGTCTGGTGATGTGGATGTTAAAGAACTGGCTGCTGAGACCAAGAACTACAGTGGAGCTGAACTGGAGGGCCTGGTCAGAGCTGCCCAGTCTACTGCCATGAACCGCCACATTAAGGTACAAAGTACTATATATTGATCTATGCATCTTTCATAATACCCCATTTGAAAGGTCTAAACCCATGCTGAACTGTATTCCAGGCCACATCTACTGTAGAGGTGGACATGGAGCGAGCAGAAAAGCTGCAAGTCACTCGAACAGATTTCATGGCGTCCTTAAATAACGACATTAAACCTGTAAGTATCTGCCTTGTTGAATAATTGATTGTTTTCATCAGCAGGACTGCAGAGTTCAGAGAGTCCTTTGTAGTTGAACTCGTCAAGTGAAACCATGTCCTCTTTTACTTTGGTTAGGCTTTTGGCACCAACCAGGAAGACTATTCCTGTTACATCATGAACGGTATCATTAAGTGGGGTGATCCAGTGACCCGAGTGCTGGAGGACGGAGAGCTGCTGGTGCAGCAGACTAAGAACAGTGACCGCACCCCACTCGTGTCTGTGCTTCTTGAGGGTGAGCTTTCATTTTTACTTTCATCAAGTAGAAATAACATGGTGAGGACGATCCATGGATGTCCTTCTCACAGCCTTTTATGCTAACATTACAAAAACATTTAGCAAATATTATTAACATCATGAGAACATTCTGAGAATGTGGTTCTTTGTACGTTTTCTGTCAATATGTTCAATGTTCAAGAATCATCAAGTAAAAAGAACATCATAAGAACATTACACAAAGCGTACATCTAATATAGAAATGTTATAAGAAAGTTAAGAATGTTTTGTTCTAACATTTGCATAATTCATGAATGTTAGTGAGAGTTGTGGGAACGTTTGCGGTTAGGAAGGATAATCTCTGTGTTCCACCCCGATGTAGACTTTGCAGTTCTGACACATCATGTATTTTTGCCTCAGGACCTCCTCACAGTGGAAAGACAGCTCTGGCCGCCAAAATCTCAGAGGACTCGCAGTTCCCATTCATTAAGATCTGCTCTCCAGACAAGATGATTGGCCACTCAGAGATCTCCAAATGCCAGGCAATCAAGAAGGTTAGTGGTCACATGTTGTGTGCTCATAAATTTGAATATAATCTTAATGAAAATTGTACAGTTTTATACATTTTAATATAATATATTAACATATAATCTATTCACATTTTGTATTCTCAAAGGCAAAGTTGTTGCTTTGCATGCATACAATCATTACAAATGCTCAATATTACTTCCCAGGTCTTTGACGATGCTTACAAGTCTCAGCTGAGCTGTGTTGTGGTTGATGACATTGAGCGTCTGTTAGGTTAGACTGTTTTATTATTTAAATAGTTGATTTTGTTAGTTTTTGTTTTTTTGAATGAATGCAGACATTATTACTGTTTACATTATTAATGCATACTATTAATTCTGTGTGGTGAAACAGATTACGTGCCGATTGGTCCTCGATTCTCCAACCTGGTTCTTCAGGCCCTGCTGGTTTTGCTGAAGAAGACTCCACCTCATGTAAATTCTGATGAGTTTATATATGTCATATATGTGCATTTGTGACGGTGTTTTACTATTTTTATTCGGTCACTGAATGCATTTATCTATGTACTGTAAGATTGTTAGATTATGGGCATAACATGCCTGGTGTTCTTCTCTTGATCTTAAGGGCCGTAAGTTGCTGATCATCGGTACCACCAGCCGTAAAGACGTGCTGCAGGAGATGGAGATGCTGGATGCATTCAGCACCACCATCCATGTGCAAAATATCTCCAGTGGGGAACATCTGGTTGAAGCTCTAGAGGTGAGATGAGACGAAATAAAAGTCAGAGCTTAATTTTAAACTGATGTGCTGTACTACTGTAAGAAAAGCTACTATCTATCTATCTATCTATGCAAGATACATGAATGACATACAATCAGGAGATACAGGATGATATTTCAGCATTCTAGTTTATTTATTTAATGTTTTTTCAGCATTAGACAGTAGAGGGCGATACCACTCTTCTGGCACTTCATTTACAGGCACAAAATGTTACTATCATACTTATCTTTTTTTCTGTTAATTACAAGCTCCTGGGCAGCTTCACAGATGCTGAGAGAACCACCATTGCCCAGAATGTGAAAGGAAAAAGAGTGTGGATTGGCATTAAAAAGCTTCTCATGCTTATTGAGATGTCTCTACAGGTAAGCTTCAGTGTTTACCTCAGAGCGAGGCAAGACAAAGTCTGTAAATATTATTGTGAACTAAACTAAAGAGTCACTCAGACCCATTAAATCTTTGGATTGGTTTCAGCTAGAAGTGTCCATTTAGAAATTCTCTCTAAAAATCTGTAGAAACTAGAAACTCAGAAATAGAACTAGAAACTTAATGAGCTCAAGTAGTTTTCCAACATACTTTTTGAAAGGCGGTCTAAATAATTCAGTTGATTTCCTATGCTTTTTAGAGCTGTTTCATGCACAGAAGAAGCTCACACTACACCTAAAGTGCTGTCTAGCAATCAGCTCACTTCATCTCGTGACAGTCACATGCAGGGAACCATATATGTGAAAATGAAAGTTTATTTATAGCATGTTGTGTTTACTCTCCTCTCTAGATGGATCAGGCGTACAGAGTCAGCAAGTTCCTCTCTCTACTCAAAGACGAGGGAGCGTGAGTACTCACCACTATAATAATATGTTGCTTATTTGGCACAACAATGTCTAATAAAAGAGTTATTGCCACAGACTCACTGGATCACAAACCTGATGAGGAGTTAAACAGGCTTTAAGCTTGTTTTATATTTGATTTTGTTAATTGACAGGCTGGATGAAAACAATCACATCCGAATTTAACACTGCTGGTGAAAACTGATGGTAAGGGCGTCATGGTAACTATGTGTGCTGTATTCAGAGCCATCAGAGTAGTTGCTTTGAAATGTTATTTTTGATCCTTAGTTTTTCCCTTAAAGATACAGAACCTAAAAACTAGCGTCCTATAGCAATTCCAAGCCAGCCTGATCTCTTCATGTACTTTAATGGCTGCTTTGAAACGTTTCGGGTCAGTAAGATTTCTTTTTTTTTCAGCAAGGATACATTCAATTGATCAAAAGCAACAGTAAAGACATTTATAATGATACAAAAGATTTTTATTTCATATAAATATTCCTGTTTTCAACATTAATAATAGGAAGAAATGTTTCCTGCTTTGGCATCACAGGAATAAATTACATTTTAAAATAAAATAGAGTCATTTAAAATTGTACTAATATTTCAAAATATTACTGTTTTTACTGTATTTAAATTAAATGCAGCTTTGGTCAGACTTCTTTTAAAAACATTTAAAAATCTTATTGACCCCAAACCTATGAACATCACTGTATAAAAGAAAATGTAATGCTGTGCTTATTAGATATGTTACACCATACATTTAAATATTCAGTACCATATATGTATTTTATTCTAATCAACTATTAGCCTTATTACAAATAAGATTGTTTAGATCTTCCTGCTCAGGGCCTGCAGAGGTCAGACTTTTCCACTGCGAACCATCGCAGATTACATAGTGACTAGTGATTAAGTCTAGTGAAAGTCAACATGCTGTTTTTAAATGATTTTACTTAGAATCTGACATATTTTCAGATGACACAGAATATGCAAGAAAGGAAAGGAAAGGAAAGACAAAAACGATTGCACATATTGTTATTTCAGGAGTTGCAGTTTTCACAACAAGAAGAGTTTTCACATGATGTTTTTACTAGATGTTACATATTTAAATTAATATATAAAATTGTTTGAATATTGTTTGAATATTGACATTTATTTATAATGTTGCACTTTTCTATAAAATGTTTTATCATCATTTAAACCTCTAGATGCAGAGTAAAATAGACAAAAATTAATGAATATGACAAGATATTAATATTGACTAAATATAAAGGATATTTTCATCAAAAGCCCAAATTATGAAGTACTGTAAACAAAAAAATTACCAAAAATGACTAGAAAGTGGACAGTGGGAGTTATATATCAGAATTGAGTCAGGTGTGTTAAACTTGCGACCGGAACAAGTTGTGACATTTTGATTAACATTTTGATAAGGTTAAAA